GAACAGTCCACGGAAGGTGAGGGAGGGCTGAGAAGCGAAGAGCAGCCATGGGGGATTGTCCAGCCTGGGGGGCGGGTGCCCCTGCCCGCCTTCTGGGGCTCGCATCACTGCTGCTCGTAAGCCTATGCTGCACCCCACCTGTCGGCTTGGCCTCTTGGAGCCCCCAGAGGCTCAGACTTTTCGGCACGTGCATACAGACCCTCGGCACCTGCCCCACTCCCAGCAGAGGAAACTCCTTTGACAGGCAAGGCTTAAGCCTTTTATTTCCTATGAGAACATATAGAAACCCAAGTTCAGGGCCACTTCTTGACCTATGCTGACTAAGTCACGGAAGTGCGAAATACTATGGAATTGACACTGATTACCCTGTGAGTCTGTTTCCTTGACTTGCCCTACGAGGCACTGTGCTGAGCTCTCTGCAGCATCAGCTCACTTTGTAACAGGTAGACGCAGCTGTTGCGCTTATGCTCTCTGGCAGCTGAAGAAACCGAGGTGCAGAAAGGTTAGATATCTCACGACCTGCAAGCCACGATTTTAGTTGCTGTTACCCTGAAGCTGTTAGGAATAATAAATGACAATAGCAAGAGTTGAAATAATAGTTAAAATACTGAAAACAATATAATAGTTCAAGTAAAATAAAACAAGCATTTGTCGGACATTCTACTGTGTGTTTAGGTGGAGGCAAAGTGCTTTCTATGCGCTATTCCCATCGAATCCTTGGTAAGCTCCCACGATGTGGGTACCAGTTGGCCCCATTTTTAGTTGAGGATCCTTGAAATAACTTTCTCAGTATAACTCAGCTTATAAATGGTGAATAAAACAAAGTGGAACCAAGAACAGAGGGAGGGCAGCTGCAGAAAATTAATGGAAATACAGGCAGTTCTGTTTTACGCTTTCACAAGGGTCATGCTGGCAGCCAGAAGCACAGGTGTGACGTGCCTCCACTGAAGGCATCCCTCCTCTGGGGAAAGGTGTGCCTGTCGGCGGGGGGGCAGCCACAGCCGAGGGGCTCCTGTCCTTGGGAAAGCAGGGCTCCCGGCAGCAGAGCGCACACCTTGCCCTCTGGATTAACACCTTGTAAAGAAGAGTCAGCTCTCGGCTCTTGAGGTTTTTCCAGAAGATAGACTTCTTTCTTTTCCCTTAGCTTCATAGATTTTTCCCACAAGCAATCAGACTTCCCGCAATTTTTATTAAGAATTCCAGACACTCCAATAATACCTCGCAGACACCACAGCGTCTGCTAACATAGCGAGCCATTTTATGACGTGCCTCAGTAGCCCAGCGTCCCTGCGCTGGGAAGGGTCGCCCGCTGCCCTGGGCTCTGGGCCCTCAGGAGAGCCTGCATCAGGACGAGGGTCCCTTCAGTAGCCCCTGGGCTGGATGGCTTTGTGTCCAATTTGTTCTCGATGACTCCACAGGACTGCATGTTAGAGTGAACAGGAAGGCTGGTTCTGTATCAGACAAAATAAAAATTAGAGTGTCCTTAAGCATATGGCTTTGTGGCCAAAAACAAACATTGGTCTTTGCCTTACAAGCTTTTGGTTTTCTGAGCGATTCAGCCACAGGTTTTGAGATTTGCTCAGAGTCCCTCTTCTTACATCTACGTTAGATCGTATCCATGTGCTGCCGACCAGCCACCAGAACATTCCAATGTCATTTCCCCAGACTGGACTGTTCATCTGGGAAGATTTTAACCAGGTGGTTTTCCCAGGTACCATCTCCAGAGGATGGCCGAAGTACCTGCCATAGCCAATCAGCTTCCTTTCAGCTCACTTGAAATATTTACTTAAGTCCGAACTTTGAAGATGAACTAGATAACATTTGGGTGATGTGATGAGTGTGTGAAGCACATGCAAAGCGTAACCACAATGCCTGCCGTGTGCAAGACGTTATGCAAGAGGCTCCTTCCGTGCAAACAGCCTGTGCTAATGGGGGCCCTGCTTTAATTAGCACAAGAGAGAGGGAGTCAAGGGAACCAGCCAGGGTGGGGAGGCGGGAACGCAGGTGTGGCGTGACATCCAGCCCGTAATTGCATGCATTAGAATGAAAGTCGCAATGGAAAAATTCCCAGGGTTGTATGGAGATGTGGTATGGAAAGGAGGGGGCAACAGTAGGGTCAGGAGATGGTCCTGAGGCTTACAGCATGGGTGGGCATTTGATGGGGTGGCGGGAAGGGGCAGCCTCTGTGTCCGGCGATGCCTGAGCAAAGGTCTGGGTGGAAGACAACTGCCCTGTGCCCCGAGAGGCCATGAGTGGAAGCAGCGAGGGTCGGGTGCTTGGGGCCAGAACCCAGGGGGAGCCGGTAGGCAGGCGCTTGGGGCAGGTCTGCACTGGTCTTACACAGAGGAGCAGCAGCATCGGTTGCCTGGGACTTTGATCGGTTTGGAGGATCAAGCTTTGAGGTTAGGACCCTCGTGGCAATCCATCCCATGAAATCCGCAGGGATGGTGGGGGGGGGGACGCATCACTGAATGTGAGGAATTTCTGGAAAAAGCGATTGCTTAGACTGAGCAGTTGGGGATGAAAAAGAAAGAGAGAAGTCTAAGGATGGGGCTCAGGTTTGTAACCGGGGAATCTGGGTGGGTGGTGGTGCCCCAGACGGAGCAGGAAGAGCCGGGAGGGTGGCGGTGCTAAGGGAAGGACCGCCGCAGTGGGCTGGGCCTGGCTAGGCACCTGCACCAGCCCAGGGAGAGACAGCCACGTGCAGCCGGAGGCATGGCTCTGCCTGAGGAGAGAGGCCCCCTGGGCTGGAGTGCAGACCTGGGGCTCAACCCCTGAAGCTTATTGGGAGAATGAGCTAATGCAGACGGGGGACACTGGGGACCGAACCTTAGGGAAATGAATTCTTATGGGGCCTGGAAGCTCAGGGAATAGAGAGTGTCAAGGAGGAGGAGGCGGTGCTGTAAGACCAGAAGGATTCAAGAGAGAGCTTTCTATAGGGGTTGGCACTTATGAGGCCACCAGCACCTGGAGAAATGCGTTCCAGTGGTATCTGGTGGCAGGGGGTCATGGCCGCAGCAGATCCTAGTAGGCTGAGGTGTGGATGGGCCACGGGGAAGCAGAGATGGCAGGTGAGCAATGAGGGGAGGGCTTTCGGCGGGAAGGTGAGCCCAGCCTCTGCAGTCAGGAGAGGAGGCAGCCACTCAGGCTGGCCTGGCAGAACCTGTGCCTGATGCAACTTCTTTCCCAGTTCTCTGCTTTCTCCTTTTCCTGTTTCTCCTCTCTCGCATCTCTTCCATTCATCCCACGTGGTATGGCCTTGGCCATCGTGAAACTTACTTCCCGTGGGGAGGCGGGCATTAAATTATCAAAGGCCCTGACTAATGCCTTCATTACTTATAGTCAACCTCACAAATAATTAACATTTTTTTGTTAGATGCTATACAAGAAAGATAGCAGGCATTAAAAACGGCAGCTACAAGGAGTTCTACCTTGTCAGTATGACTTCTACGTGCAAACCGTGGTCTGAGTAACGTACCTTAGAAGGCACTGAGTGTTTTAGCTGACCAAAATATCATGGAGTTGGTCTGATTTTGAGTTTGAATTTCTGATCAAATACCACTTTTGCCTTAATGGAAAACATCAAACGGAGTCCTTTTTGACCCCCGCATGCCGTATTAAACTGGGACCTGAAAATGGTAATTAATGCAGTGTTGACCGCGTCTGACATTTTTCCAAGGGACAAAATAAAAGAGATGATATGCATCTCAAAGGATAGGAAATCTCTGGTTTATCTTGCACAGCATAATGAAATATACTTCTATTGTTACAGTCAGGTAGAATCTTATTGAGACTTTCTGTGCAAGGTAACACCGGGAGAGGACGTCTCTAGCCCCTGACTGCCACGGGCCTGTTTGCTTTGGGTAACATAGGGAAAACTTTTAATTGCCAGTGTTCAGTTCTCCGAAGTTAATATCACATCACCTTGACGTTAAGCTAACAAGCAGACAGGGTCATTCTTGGTTTGTAAACTCTTGTCTGGATCACTTAATCGTATCATATTCAAGAATGTGAGTGGCAGGGAATTTTAGAGAAAAGTAACAGGGAGGGCTCAGAACTGAAGGAACTTGTTGGAAAAAAAACAAAAAACAGCGGGTATTTTTACCTTCTCTCCTCTCACTCCTCTGGCAAAAGTGGATCACATTTTCTTCCCTCAGAGAGGAATCGGTATGGGTTTCATGCCAGAGGCCATTTTAATACACGAATGATTTGTAGGTAAATTTATTGTAGCCAATGGGTGCAGTCAACTGTGTAATAGAAATATTGTCCAAAAGCCGGGATTATTATTTAAATAAGTGCAGTGTTAAATTTGATTACATACTTTTTAAAGCTAATAAAACATTTCATTGCTCTCAAACTATTTCCCATAGTCCCATTTAGTCAGAAAGCATAAATTAAGAGAGCTCTGCATAGAAAATTACCCAGGCTTTGTGTCGATGGGAGCAGGCACGGCAAAGCTTGGCAGCCTCACAGTTTAAAGACGAAAGGATATAAAAGGGGTTGGCAGGTTCCTATATAGGCAGGTGTGGATACTCTTCTCCTTGAAGAATCCTGGAAAATGACAACTTAGGAGACTGCGTGCTTGTGATGGATGCTGTGCGTGTGACACTGGAGGAGGCCGAGGTGTGGAGTGCAGTGAGGTCCCCTCTTCCCTTATCACAGGTGAAGAGGAGACACCTCCGTTCGCCTCGACATAAGGTCCTTCCAGAAACATCAACCACTTTCTTTTTCAAAGAATGGAATTGTTTTTGTTTTAAAAAGTCAGAATAAGGCCCTCGGATGCCAACCTGGGGATGTGACATTTTAAACTATGTTATTTGCTGAGCTTATCCACCGAATGTCGAGGATCAGCGCCTTGCATTCATTTTAATGAAATATTGTGCTGATAAGGGTTATGAATGCCAAGTTTAAGCTGTAAATTACTAAATGTCGGGCTGCTTTATGCTTTGTGAATTCATCAGGGAGCAAGCTAATGAAGGTTTCTTTCTCGCTTCTTGCAGCTAGGGATTCACGGTTATGCCTTTGCAATCACGAATAATGGATATATCCTCACGCATCCGGAACTCAGACCACTGGTAAGAAATACTTCTGTGTTTTCTCCTTTTGTCCTTTTCAAGGATTTTCTTCAGTTCTACAGTGATGACCCTGTGCGAACAGCTTTAGCTTTGGGAAGCTCAATGCATAGTATTCAGCTTGTAAGAGCTGACATGTTCTGGCACATGATGTATAATGTAGGGTAAATATATTTGCTATCGTTCCCTTATATATAAATCCATACATTCCTATATGCATTTATTTACTGATTCCACATCTGCCAGTGTCTGGAAAATGTTTTCACTCTGTGTAAGCCATCACAATGGATGCCTTTATAGAACTCCAGCCCAAGGCCCATTTATTCAAAGTTGTATTTGATACAACGAATTAGACCCAGGATCCCTGGAAATTCATTACGATCGGATTTGCCCCCAAATTACATTGCTAAGCTCAGGGCCTCCTGCGTTGAATGTGTTCAACAATGCCTTTTTGTTAATTAAAGCAGCTGAGATTTTTCTCTGCTTGCTGCCTAAGCCGTGTCCAGCAACACTGTTTGGTGACTAGGCGCAGAAGCCATTTTCTTTCAGCGTTGCTTTCACCCCCTGAAGTGAGCGGGGTCAGACGGGACAGCCTGTGGTGTCCCTGCCCCCACCCCCACCCCCACCCCCGCGAGAGGGGCTGCCTGGAGCACTGTGTGCGGGAGGATTCTGACGGGTGGCCAGGCTGGTCCATAGGAGGCACGGGCCCATTGACAGCATCCCTGCGGGCTCCGGTGGGGCATGCACAGTGAAGCCTAGTGGCTCCTGGCTCCTGTCCTTGGACTAGTTGCAGTGTGTTGACAAAAAGGGAACCCTTTGGTTTTGTGAATGTGTTAGCTAATTTTAAAGAAGGTATAAACATTGAAGAGTAATATAGTAAAGTCTGTTTTTCATAGTTAAGAAAGTGTAGGTGGTTTGTCTATGTACACACACACTCTCACACACCCACACACATGCTCACAGCTCACTCTCACACACATTCATACATGCTCACGCACTCATACACATACCCAGCCACCCCACACATTTCTCCCTTTTGTCAAAATTAGAAATAGCGACAGGGCCTGCTGTGCAAATGTTTATTGGTGGGGCATCGTGGGGGCCCGTTTGCTTCTCACGTGGGTCATTGTTTAGAAAGAGCTCATGTCTGAGCTCCGTCATCAACCAACTTTACCCCAGTTGCCCTGGTATTAATGTCAGCACATGGATCCCATATGCATACTTCAAGATGGGACGTATGGCAACATTTGATTTTGATGATCTTTTTATCAGAAAAGGATTGAGTAACTGGTTAGTTAATTCCACATGCAACTCAGAATTATTGAAAAGTCTGATTGAAAGAGCTCCTACTCAAGTCTAAAAACCTACTTAGAAGTCTGAAAATCTCAGCACATTGCCCATTTGCAAGCCTCCCAGATGGGGCCGTCTGGTGGGGGTGGCAGGCGTTCCACGTCTGGTGTAGCTGAGTGCAGAATTCTAGTGCTTATTTAATCCAGGTTGGGTGGAGCAGACTCCATGGAACCATCAGGCCTGGATGGAACCCCTGCTAGCAGATGCCTGAGCTCCCTCTTTATCAGGTTTCAAAAAGGAATGGAATGGAACCAGGTGTCCAGAAGTCACCGGGTGCCTGTGCCCTCTCACCAGCTGCCATCAGTACTGTTGACTTACAGCATCTTTCCAGCCTTTTCTATCCCCTGGTCATGTGGCACATGGTCTGTTTGCAGGTAGTCTACCCGACGCACTTTGCAGAGCCGAGGCCACTGACAGGGTGGGGAAAGGCCATGATAGGCAGGCATCCCTGTCACACTGGTCACCCGAGACAGGGCAGATGCTCACAGGCAGGCCTCTCCTCCTCACTGTGGGGACACTGCGCTCACCAGTGATGGCCTGGACCGGTTTCCGCAGGTGGGGGGGCCCAGGCAAGCGCCCCCGGCGTCTCATGCACAAGAATGCATCCCAGATGAGCCGCTCAGCAGTTTCTCCATAAGAAGAATGTAAGGAAAGGCCAGGCCATTGAGCCATCTGTCCCGTGTGTCTGTCTCTGACCCTGAGGCTATGAGATATTCAGAAGATGTTTGGAGTGATGCCATATATTCATGATTATATGAACTAACCTGTCTGAATCTGATTGATAAGCGGATGTTGACTCTGCGTTGAGTCTCGCATTTTCCTCCTGGAAAGAAACAGCGACGTAGAAGGAATCCACTTCAGCCGCGAATGGGTTCCCTGGCTTTGGATGAATCTCACAGCCTCTCTGAGCGGCATTTTCTCTCGTAATCCTGCCATAATCCTAGTGTATAGACTACAGTAAATGAGAGAGTGCAAGCAAAGAGCCTGGGGACAAAGTGGTCCCCAGGCTATGGGGGACAGTGGTGGCTACACCGGCACCCTGTTTGTGTCTTATGGGCTCTGTCTGTGATCGGCTGTTGTGAAGGTTGGGGGGTGCATGGCAGTTGTGAGAGCTTAGGTGGGCCTAAAGAATGCTTTGATTATTCAGTTGGTTATCATTTTTAACGAAGACCTGTACACACACACACACACACACACACACACACACACACACACAGACACCGCACCCCCCCTCAGTTTCTTGGCCAGCTCTAGTCTAGAGGACAGGCAGACAGCAGTTACGGAAGCAGAAAGCTCATCCTCACCACCAGTCCATTCAGCGCATAGTAGGTTTTCAGGAATGAGTGAATGAAGGGCTCCTCCCAAGCCGCTGTCTTCATTTGCACGGATTTTGGATCTTTCTGTAAAATGTAGCTTCTGAGCTTCCCCTGGAGCCCCGGGTCTGCCCCAGACACTGATGCGCACCCCTGGTGGGGAAACCCTCTGCACAGCTGGGGACAGCAGGCTGCCAGCAGCTTCCCTGGTGAACTCAGGCGGCGAGTCCTTGTTCAGACCCGACTCGCCTTCCCCTCAGCCCCGCCGTACGATCGAACTCTTATTACGAATGGACATGCCGCTCAGTTCTGGCCAAGGATGCCAGATTAGCACAGTGGGTATGAGCATGGGGCTATGGCCAGCACGGGGGGGCGGAGCAAGCTCACTTAAAGTGGCTCAGACCACCTGCATCTGCCACTGGGCCTGCTTCCGCCCCTGCAGCCGGAGGGAAGGAGTGGGTTTCTCTGAAGCACAATACCAATATTTTTCTAATTTGCCCAATAAAATCTTTCCCCCAAACTTAATCTTTGGCTTGATTTTATCCAGTATTTTCTTTAATCTTGTATGATTTCGGTGTGAATCACGAAGGTTCTCCAAACGCAGCTCAGAGGTAGGAGCGTTACTCAGCAAACTCACTTTGGTGTGATTGGCCCAACTGCGAACGTGATGTTTTCCCGTGATAACAGGCACTCCCTAGTCTTTCTCCAAGTGCTCTTGCCCCACTGCATCCTCATGACTTCTGGGGGACCAGGTGATGCCCAGTCAGCATCTCCCTGGTGCTGGGTGTGCTGGGTCCTGGGTGCAATGTGGCCATCTTCCAGGCTGAGGTGGGGGCCACGCCTGGGCTCTGCATGAAGGACGGGGCAACGCAGCAGGAGGGATTCAAGTTAGACCTTGAGGAGTACTTCCGAAGTGGTTCTTAGACATCTGGGAATTTTTTCTTTTGATCTTTACCACTCTCTGGCATTCAGGTTAAAAATACTTCCAACTATAGTCACTGTTTAGATTTAGTTTCCTTGGATTCTGTTTTTCCCACGTCTTTAAGAGCTTTGTGGATTTTCCTTAAAGTGTGGATCCCTGAATATATCTCTTTTTCATCCTGCCCGGCAGAGAGTGAGCCATGAGACTGGGGGCGGGGGCCGCCCTGGACACAGTCTGATTCGTGTTGAGATTTTGGTGACCCATCTGCCTCTCTGTTTTTAGAAGAAAGGACCTTCTGAGTTGGTTTGCCTCCCTGAGGAGGCCTGGAATGTGGACCTGGGCGAGCCACCAGCCAAGCGCAAACAAGGCCCCTTTCCAGCAGCCACAGCACAGGCAGGCCCTGCAGAGGGCCCGGGGCAGGCCACATCCGGGCTCGTTGCCACCAGAACCACGCTGGCCTCCCCCAAAGCTGTCTCACAAAGCTTTGTGTCTGCAGGCCCCAGAGATGGGGAAGGATACTGGGGGGTCCTCTTCTGGATGAAAATCTGCCAGTCGCATGGGCCCCTGTGTGGGTGGTGGGTGAGATGGGAGGTGGGAACGATGGAGAGAAACCTTCATTCCTTCCTTCCACGTTTGCTGACCTCACAGCCCTGGCTATTTCCGCAGTGTGGGTGCATTCCCAAACCATGCAGTGTCCTAAACCAAACTGTGAACCTCAGGCCCCTGGGTGGGAGCGTCCGCCACATGTGGCAGGCCCAAGCTGTCAGGTTACTGGGCACCAAGATGCTTTGCGTGGTGCTGTCCAACTCAGGTTAACTCTTTAACAAGCCCAAGCTTTGAAGGTGACTGTCGCCTTCCTAAGCTATTACAGAACCTTCCTGCTCCCCCTGGAATTGTTGCCTTTCCGGTCTGGTTTCTGTCTGATGTCACCAGTCCTTCCCTTGTGTCACTCCTGGACTGTCCCCATCCCACACTGGACATTGATCCTCCCTCACTGTTCTCATGCACACCTGCGCAGTCAATCTGTCTGCACCATTTGGTGTTGCACGTGGGCTGTCGTGACCTTGCTGAAGGCCATTGAGAACATGGATTGCTGGGGAAACATGCTAATAAATGTCAATATACTGCAGTCCTCTGCTGTGGAGTTAAGTAGACGTTCCTATGAACACATGTAAATATAGGTTAAATGATAGTAGACAGTATATATCAAACACCACTTTAAATAGGGGCTATAAAGGTGGGGGCAATGTCAAAGTCCTTGTCTAAGTCCACCTGACTTAGCTCAAGCAGTGGGCCATGTGAAGAGGGTGACTAATTCCAAAACATGTGGATGTGAAGTTTACCTGTGATCTTTATGTCATTATGCAGATCCTTGCTTCCATCCCAACACAGCTAATAGTGTCTTTTCTATATAATCA